AAGAACAGCAAAAAGAAAAAAGAATCCAAAAAAAAAAAATGAGGAGCCTTTGGGACAACATCAAGCATAACAATTTTCATATCATAGTAGTACCAGAGAAAAAGAGAGAGAACAAGATATTCAACCTAGTTGAAGAAATAATAACAGAAAACTTCCCTAATCTGGTAAAGGAAATAGACATACAATTCCAGGAAGCACAGAGAGTCCCAATCAAGATCAAACCAGACCCACACCAAGACACATCATAATAAAAATGCCAAATGTTAAAGAAAAAAAGAGAATCTTAAAAGCAGCAAGAGAAAAGCAGTTATGATAATTACCTACATGGGAGCTCCCATAAGACTGCCCAATTTCTCCATAGAAACTTTGGATGCCAGAATGGATTGGCAGGAAATATTCAGAGATGAAAAGCAGGACCTACAACTAAGATGACTCTACCCAGCATGGCTATCATTTAGAATCAAAGGACAGATAAAGAGCTTCCTAGACAAGAAAAAGGAGTTCATCACCACCACACCAATATTACAAAACAACAACAACAAAAATTAAAGGGACTTCTTTAAGAAAAAAAGGGGGAAAAGATCAAAATATGAATAATAAAGTGGCAATAACTACATAGTTATCAACAATTTAAATGTAAGTGGATTAAATGTCCTGATCAAAAGACATAGGGTGGCTGAATGGATAAGAAAACAAGACCCTTGCTTATTCCGCCTACCAGAGACTCAGTTCAGATCAAAAGACACATACAGACGGAAAATAAAGGGATGGAAAAATGTATTTCATAAAAATGGAAATGGAAAAAAAAAAGCTGGGGTAGCAATACTTATACAAGACAACGTAGATTTTAAAACAATGGCTATAACAAGAGACAAAGAAGGACCCAGTAATCCCAAATCTGGGTATTTAATCTGAAGAAATTCAAACACTACTTTGTAGGGACATGTGCATTCATATGTTCATTGCAACAGCATTTACAATAGCCAAGATATGGAGGCAACCTAGGTGTCCCATCAATGGGTTAATGGATAAAGAGGATGTAGTACATATCCACAGTGGAATATTACTTAGCTATAAAAAGGAATGAAATCTTGCCATCTGCAACATGGATGGACCTATATAGGGCATTGTGCTGAATGGAGTAAGTCAGACAAAGACAAATGCCATATGATTTCACTTATATGTGGAACCTAAAGAAGAAAATAAATGAACAAATAAAAAATAATCAAACTCATAGATACATAGAAAATGTTGATGATTGCCAGATGGGAGCGGGATTGGCGGGATGGGTGAAAGAGGGGAAGGGATTAAGAAATACAAATTGGTTGTTACAAAATAATCATGGGGATGGAGGGTATAGCATAAGGAATATAGTCAATAATATTGTAATAACTATGTATGGTGTCAGATGGGTACTAGATTTATTGGGGTGATCACTTTGTAAGTTATATAAATGTCTAATCACTGTGTTGTATACCTGAAATTAGTATATGTCAACTGTAATTGAAAAATAGAAAATTATTTAAAAAACACTTGATAAATAAAAATGGAATTCTGAATAATTCCATTTTTCAGGAAGGAAGTAAAAAGAAAACAGATAAAAGAAATAGATAATAAAAATGAATGGATATGTCCCTACATATCAGTGATTAAATGTAAATGGTCTGAATTCAGCAATTAAAAGACAGATTTACAGAGTAGATTTTTTAAAATGACACGCTATATGCTGAAATCATTTCTGATATATGCAGGTTGGAAAATAAAAGGCTGCTTTATTTGTAATAGCTAAAAACTGGAAATAACCACAGTGTCCTCGGTAAGTGTATGGTTAAATAAGCTGTCGTATATTTATACCATGGAATACTATTTAGCAATAAGGAGGAACTAATTATTAATACATGCATCAACTTAAATAGATCAGAATGGCATTATGCTGGGTGAAAAGAGTCAATCTTAAAAGGACATTTATTCTGATTCCATTTATATAACATAACAAAATTATAGAGATGGAAAACAGAGTAGTAGTTGCTAGGGTTTAGGAATGGTTGATGGAAGGAGGGGTGTGACTAAATGGATAGCATGAGGGAGACCTTTTTTATAGCTGAGCAGTTCTGTATCTTGGTTTTGGTGGTGCTTATGGGATAAAATAGCACAAAATGATTCTCTCCCTCCCTCCCTTCTTCCCTCCCTCCCCGCTCATTGGTCCGGTACTGATTTCCTGGTTTTGACATCTTGCAAAAGTTATGTAAACTGTAACCATTAAGCAAAACTGGGTGGAAGGGTAAATTGGACCTCTCTATACTACTTTTGCAACTCACTATGAATCTATAATTATTTCAAAATTAGTTTTAAAAAGGAAAAAGATAAATTATAAGTAAGAAGAGTGAATATTTTAAACAAATGCATTAGTACATTTTATGCATTTTTCAGGTACAGAGAAAAGCAAGTAGAGATGGGAAATTATAAAAGACAAAAATGAGCCATGAATGTCATCTTTGTTACGCTTCAAATTATGATATGGGAATATTGTGGTTTTAACTTTTCAAGAGTACCTAGAAAAGGAAAATTCTAGTTATCTTGTGTACCTTTAAAATAGTAGAATAACTTTTATGGATGTATTTTTTAATTCAGTTTTTATTTTTTATTAGAACTAAAGAGGCTTATAACAAAGTTTTGCCATTTAAATTCTTTAGCAATTTTTTTAATGTGTTAACTTGCTGTTATAGAAGATTAGGATTTAGTTATTCACTTCCCCATCACCATTAATACAAGCCTTATTTCTACTTCTCCATTTTCCCATTATAGTGATCATATTTATTTCTATTAGATCAATATTGTTATTTTAGTAGGATGTAAAAACACTGTATCTAAGATGTGATTGCTTTCCTGCTCTTATCCAACTTTTTGTTTTCCTGAGAATTAATGATTGTCTTATGTTGTTCACTTGTTACTTTTTTATATACGTATGATTGATTCCCAAACTCCCTGAATTGCAACTATTCTGTTCATTCTGAGTATCAGTTTTACCATTGTCCTAATTTTATTTTATTTATTTTTTTTAAGATTAAAAAAAATTTTTTTTTTATTGGGGAATTGGGGGGATGGGAACAGTGCTGGGGAATTGGGGGAAGGGGAACAGGCAAGTTGCTGTCGTTTTGTTCTTCAGTATAGTTGTGGAGGATGTTGCTTCACTGGCCCAAGTTGGCACCATCATTGCGCTCTCCCCGGGTGAGGCAGATCAGTCGCCGGCTTCTGGACAGCCGCTCACTGCGGCTGCTGGCCGCTCACGCTGGCTGCTGGCTACATACGGTAGCCCATGGCAACCCACTGTCACAGGGTCTGCAGCCTACGCAGTCACCGGTGACCCACGGCAGCCCAGCTCCAGGTCGAGCTGTTGTTCAGCATCTTAGCTGTAGAGGGCAGTGTCATTGGCCCTCATATGTGGGATCCGAACCAGGCCCTCTGGCGTCCCAAGCCAGTTCTTAACCATCGCTCCACTTGGCCGGCCCCCATTGTCCTAATTTTAAAAGGGTGCTAAGCATAGGTTGGATTTGAGAGCTTTGGTATAAAGACAATTCTTAGTGTTAGAAACTCTCTATAAAACCAGAATGAATATAAATTAAATATCTTTGTTACTTTTTCAATTTACACACAAACCCTGTCCAGCTGCAGATAGCTGAATGGATATTCCTTTATTTCAGCTTATATCAAAGAAATCTGTAGATACTTGTGAATATCTGTATTCTGGTAGCAAAGGAGACCTGTAGATATTTGTGCGAATCTGTGTCCTCATCAATCCCAAATATTGGTCACCATGGAAAGTGGGGAGAGCCGTGGAGCAGAGGCAAGAATGCTTGGTTTCTAGTTTTTTTGTTTGTTTGTTTGTTTTTTAATTTATTTAGCTGAGCCATCCTGCCACATTTTGGCAGCTCAGTGGCAGCTCAGCCAGGCCCGGCATCGAACCGCTGTTGCTCAGAGCTCAAACTCTTGAGCGAGCTCTTAACCAACTGAGCCACTCGGCCAGCCCTTGGGTTCTAGTTTTGATTAGTTGCTAATTGACCTTTCACTCCAGGATGATCAGGTGACCTTCATTTCCGTTCTGGTCTCTGTAATAATGACTTGATCAGACTGGATTATGAATGTGGCCTCTTCTAGTTCGAATGTGATTTCAAGTAGATAAGTGATTTACTTTAATCCTGACTATATATGTAGTATCTCCAAATTAAGTAAGTTGTCATTTTCAGTACTTTTAAAGAAGTACCCTGATATTTACAGTGAAATTGGATTAAAAGGCCTCAAGTAATTTCTGAAGCCTTGTAGAGATGGGAAATTATAAAAGACAAAAATGGGTCACTGATGTCATCTTTGTTGTGCTTCAAATTATTATATGGGAATTGTGGTTTTAACTTCCCAAGGGTGCCTAGAAAAGGAAAATTCTAAGGTCATCAGAAACTTCATGGTTTGCTACCTAGTAGGTTAGATTTGACACATAAAATGCCCTGAGATAATTAGTGTGGTTTTTGTGGTAATTTCAAGTTATAGACTGTTTAATTTAGATGGGTCCTTGAGGGCTCCTGAGAGAGTTCCTGAGAGTCTAGCAGTTTTTAGTTGATGTAATCAAGGGCAGAATGCACTGTTTGTTTACTTGTTTGTTTTGCAAGTGTTTTATTTAATTGTAAATGTTGATATGAGAGATATTGGGTTTTCGGAAGTCATGATATATTTTTTCTACGTGTTTCATTGCAAAAATGCATCCTGACTTTTCTGACAACCCAGTATTTGATATTTAAAATACTTAGTTTTCAGAGGGCATTAAGGTGAATTACATACATTTGGGAATGAATTTGCAAGTTTACCTAAGTTCATCTTAGAGTAGCACCTGTTGGTACTGATAATGTGCCTTACGAGATCCTATGAAAAGCAGATACGTAATTTAAGTTCCTAACAAATATTTGTTCATTGGTTATTATTCACTGATAACATGTTTTATTGGTTTTCAGGTACTTGAAGAAGCAGAAGCTCAACATTTATATCAGTCAATTTTGCCTGATATGGTAAAAATTGCTCTGTGTCTACCAAACATTTGCACCCAGGTTAGTGGAAATAACTATTTCCTTAGCAGCTTTCTTCAGACTCACAATTGAATTTCCTTTAGACTCTTAATGACTAAGGTCAAAGAGGGAGAAGAGAGAGATGGGAAGCAGTTTTTGCCAATGACTATGATGATTTTTTAGAAAAGGTTAGAGGCTAGAGAGAATGCTGCAAAAGGACATTAAAAATGCAGCATTCAATTTGGGAGCTTCAGTTTACACTGTTGATGTTTGTTTACTCAGACTTCTTTTTCTCTTTTTGTTTAAACAGTCTATAACTTAAAAAAAAAACAGGCATTACTTCAAACCATTCTAATGGATTTAAAACATTTTATCTTCCAAGTGGCTTAATACTACTCACTCCTTTCTCTCCCACCCCAGAGTGGTATCATGTATTGGGTTGTCGGAAAAGTCATGACGCAGTTTTGCAACGAAAAATATAGAAAAAAATACATCATGACTTTTCCGACAACCCAATATAATAAATGAGCTCATGGTATTTTCTTAACTTTTAAAAATAAAAGAAAAAATCTGGTAATATTCCATTTTGTCTGGAGTGTATTAATTGTTTATTGCTACATAACCAATTACCTCAAAGTTTGGTGGTATAACAGTTACAAGCATTATCTCACAGTTTCTGTCTTTCAGGAATCTAGGAGCAGCTTAGACTGAGTGTTCTGTCTTAGGATGTGTCTTGTGGGTGCAGTCAGGGTGTGGGCTGTGGTCATTGGAAGGTTTGGCCAACTCGGTGGGGGGCCACTTCTGAGTTGGCTCACTTACGTGACTGTTGCCATGGGCCTCTCCATAAAAGCTGATCAGGTGTCCTCATGGCACAGTTGTTTCCCCAGAACAAGCAGCCCAAGCAAGGGACAGAGCAGCGAGGAAGTGTCAGTGTCTTTTTTGACCTAGTTTGTCTTTTTTTTTTTTTTTTTAGCTGAGCCATCCTGCTACCTGTTGGCAGCTCAGCTCGGGCCGGGACTCGAACCGCTGTTGCTCAGAGCTCAAACTCTTGAGCGAGCTCTTAACCAACCACTCGCCCGGCCGGACCTAGTTTGTCAAGGCACCAGCCTCACTTCCACTATTTTCTTTTCATTAGGAGTTAGTTGCTAAATCTAGCCCATATTCCAGGAGATGGTAATTAGACTCTGCTTCTTAAAAGGAGGAGGTGTCAAAGAGCGTGTGTACATGTTTTCAAACCACCTAAAGAGGGCGCTGGTTTGTTCTTTGTGAGTTTCTTCCTGTGCTTCTTACAGCAGTGGCTTGAGTTTACGCTTGTCTTTTATTTCTAGGCCAACCCTCTTGCTGCACCGAGGCTGGCCAGGGCTCTGCTAACACTGTTTCTCCTCAGGCCCTAGGACATTTTAGGGAGAACCTAAGTGTCTGAATGTGTGGGATGGTCCCACGCACTGCAATCAATCATTGGAGTACCCCAGAAACCACAAGTATAGTCACTGGGACAACAGAAAAACATGTCTAAATGCCAGAGGGCCATGCCACCACCTTCAATTGAGAAACACTGAATGTTTTTTAATGAGCCGTATTTGTGAGCACTTTACTGTGGTATTTCCAAATTTATGTAACTCTAATTTTACCTCATTACTTCAGTGTCTCTGAAATAAGTTTTTCTGTTGGGGAGGGTAAATGTATTATAAAATTCATCTTGTTTTTCCTGGAAGTTGTAGGCATACCTTGGGGATATTATGGGTTTGGTTCCAGACCACCGCAGTAAAGTAAATATCACAATAAAGAGAGTCACATGACTTTTTTGCTTTCCCAATGCACATAAAAGTGATGTTTGCACTATACTGCAGTCTATTAAATGTGTAACACGTTATGTCTATTAAGTGTACTTTTTTGCTAAAAGAATGCTAAAAACCATCTGAGCCTTTTGGGAAAATGGCGCCAATAGACTTCCTGGACACAGGTTTGGTTGCCACAAACCTTCAATTTGTAAAATGTGGTATCTGCAAAGTGCAATAAAGCGAAACTGAACAAAATGAGGTATGCCTGTATTTGCTTGCTTATGTTTCATGTTCATTCTTTTTCTTTTCCCTCCTTGCTTTTTTCCTTTCCTAGTAAAATCTCTCACTACCTCTAACTTTTACTTCCCCCGTGATACCTGTACTACCTCTCCCAGCCAAAAGTAATCCCTCCTATAGCACTCAAATCATACTTAGCACATTATTTTGTAATTTATGTCTTTATATACCTCATCTCATTAGATTATGTTCTTGAAGGGAGATCCTCTTTATATTCCTGAGTTTATCAAAGTGCTTAATTAATGCTTTATGAAATCAATGTGTAGTTTATAATTGACAATATTTCACCTTTAGACATGAATCACTTAATCTTCTCTTTCTTTCATACTTAGGACAGAGCATTTCCATATTTTATTTAATGATTCAAAAGCATTTAAATTTGTAAGCTGTAACAAGTCACTCGGTAGAACCAAAACCAAACTTGTGGCTCCCCAACATTTGTCCTAGCTTCATATAACTTTGTTCTCCCATTAGTGTATTAATGGAGAGAACACTTTAATTCTGTGCTGTCTCTTCTGCTGAAAAAGTAAATCTCTGCTGCGAAAGTTAACATTTCAATTTGGTATCAAAATATATCTTTGGCAAGTTAAATTGCATATGTTGTTAGTTAATGATTTATCACATTAACATTCTCTAGGCTAAATCTAAAATGGTAAGTTTTAGTTTTATAAAAAGAAAATTAAAGGAAACAAGTTTTGGACATGAACATTTTGAAAGATCTTTGTTTCAATGAACCAGTCTCTTATTTTAATCTAGCTGAGTGGGTGATAAGATTTATATCCTCTGGTTTTCCCCAAATGAGCCTTCAGGCATTTCTCTTCACCAAGAGAACAGAAATCATTTATTCTATTTAAAATTCTATTTGATTATTAGGGGGACAAGAAATTTTTGTGTTTAAAGTCCAATAAGCCTGAAATATCACCATTAATTTTTAAAATCATTTTTGTAGATAACTTGGTAAATATGCTAGCCAAGTACCAGTTTGCTTTAAGCCACTGACACATTATCAGCTTTTCTTTTTTTTTAAATTTTATTGGTGAATTGGGGGAGGGGAACAGCATTGGGGAATCGGGGAAGGGGAGCAGACAAGTTGCTGTTATTTAGTTCTTCAATCTAATTGTGGAGGACGTCACCTCACTGGCCCATGTTAGTATCATCATTGCGCTCTTCCCGGGTGAGAGAGATCGGTCGCCGGCCTCTGGACGGCTGCTCACAGCGGCTCTTGGCAGCTCTCACCGGCTGCTGGCCGCTCACACTGGCTGCTGGCCACACACGGTAGCTATGGCAGCCCACTGCAGCAGGGGCTAAAGCCTATACCATCGCCAGCAACTCACGGCATCTCAGCTCCAGGTTGAGCTGTTGTTCACCATCTTAGCTATAGAGGGCAGTGTCACTGGCCCTCATGTGGGATCCGAACCTGGGCCCTGCTGCACAGAGCTGGCATCCCAAGCCAGCTCTTAACCAACGCGCCACTCGGCGGCCCTGTTTTTATTTTTTACTTGCTAAAGCAATATTGTTTTTCACTAATAAGTAATGTTTTGTATTCTCTTTGCTAGCATTACTATTGATTAGCAACCTGCAGTTAGTCAAACAAGTTCATTTTTCCCATCATCCTTGATGAGCTGCCCTCGACTTCAACATTCAACAGTATTGCTGATTTAAGAATTCAGGAGTGGCCTCAAATTATCCCTACCTTAATTTAGCAAATGCAGTTTGGTGCCTCTGCTTTTGAAATTGCTAAACTAATTATTGCTTTTCTTGTCTGTATTTTTTTTCCTCTGTCAGCCAATACCGCTCCTGAAACAGAAGATGAATCATTCCATCACAATGTCACAGGAACAGATTGCCAGTCTCTTAGCTAATGCTTTCTTCTGCACATTTCCACGGCGTAATGCTAAGATGAGATCGGAGTATTCTAGTTACCCAGACATTAACTTCAATCGGTATGTTTTCAGAGAACATCTCTAACAATGAAACAGAGAAGGGTGGAAGGAACTGATAATATTTTTTATTGAGTGTTTTGCCATAGGCTGAACATTTTATGTACACTTACCTAATTTATTCTTGATAATAAAGTGAGTTACGTTATATTTTTGCCATTTTTTCAGGCAAGATAACTGAAAGTTCATAGAGGAGCTATAGAACTTGCTTAGGTTTGTTGACTTAAGAAACATCCAAACCTGTAGAGAATTTATGAGCCAAATTGAGGACAATTGCCAGGAAGCAAAAAATCAACAGATTGAGAAAATACTCTGGAAAACGGCAGTTCTGTAGCTTATTTTATACATTAGAAGCACAGGAGGAGACGTAAGGAGGGTTACATGAACTCCATCAGTGGTAGGTTAAGGGGGTTGGACAAAGCAAAGCATGGAAATCTCTGGGATTGGATAAAGAGTAAAACAGAGAGACACATACTTTTTTATTGATGGGTACAGCATAGTTAATAATGAACATTTACAGCACATGTTGATGGTGTTCAGGAAACAAGATAACAATGAGGGGTTCTGTGGTCTCAGTGCTCTGTCATGTCGGTGAGCCCAGAGGGGTCTGGAAAAAGGCGATTAATCTGACATTCCAAAGGTATATTATCTTAGATACAAAAAGACAATAGACAGGCTCCCTTCAGGTAAAGATGGACCTTTGTCAAGGAAGCTACAGGCCTAGGATGTGACTATCCACCATGACCCACTTTTAGTTAGGAATTTTTATGTTCAGACCATCCTATGTGGTTACTTTCGGTTTCTGAGTTTGTAAGGCCCATCAAGCAGGCCTCCCCTGAGCTTGTCAGGTTCAGTATGTGACCCCTTTTTTGTCTACAGGGTCCAGGAGCCAGTAAGTCACAGAAATGAGGTTTAATCTGAGGTCTGTCTTACTCTGTGGCCCATGTTCTTTCTACCCCACCAGATTGTCCTCCTCCCCTGGAGCGCCCTGGATTCTTCAAGCCTCCTAAAGATTTAGGCCTCCTGTGATTACTCACAGGAACGTTTTTCATACATTATATTATTCTTTGTATGCTGAGATGATGTTAAAGCTGGAGTACAAGTCCTCTTTTCTGTGAAGTGTGAGTTTAAAGTCATGAGGCTGACTACCTTGTGAGACTTGAAAAATATACTTAAGATGAAGAGCAGACGTGAAAGTTGACTTTGACTTTTTATAGATATGACTAATTTATCAATGTAATTTTTTTTTTTTAAAGATTTTAAAAAGATTTTTATTGGGGAATTGGGGGATGGGAACAGTGCTGGGGAATTGGGGGAAGGGGAACAGACAAGTTGCTGTCATTTTGTTCTTCAGTCTAG